AGCATGTTTTCAGGCTTTATGTTCTAAAAACAAAGATGGCATTGTCAAAGGGTGACCTTTAACAATATACTTAGGGCACTCATTTAGCACATGAAATTTATTATCCCCTGGGTGTTGGGAGTTCAAAATTACAACTTGCTTAGCACATGTGAAAAGTAATGTCTCCTGTTGCATAGTAATTCACATTGTGTCAGTTCATTTCTCTGTAATTATCAAATTGTGAAATATAAATAATCAAGAGATAGTTACAATAGTATTAAAGGAAGCACTGTGTACTTGAAGGCTGATAAATTATGAAACCACTTTTTCATAATTAAATCATTGCCTGTTTTGTGTAAGATATTCAAATTAATCTTTAGAACCATATAATCCTGCAATGTTCAACGTTACTATAGGGTTTAAAATTTTATCACTCCCTGTGCGGAAAGATTATTGGACTCACAATATTTTAGTTGCCTGCTCTGTTCAGAATACTATTTTAGCAATAAGGAAAGGGGTGCCTGGTCTTGATCTTGGGGTTGTAAGTTTGAGCCCAATGTTGGGTGTAGAGATTACATAACAATATAATCTTTAAAAAGGGAGAGAGAGAAGGGAAGACTGTTCAAAGAGACTAGAAATTATAGTCTTTACTATTTGAATGAAATAATAAATATGCCACATGAAGATTTTAGAACCCAATGAAGCAATGTTACAAGCAGATATAAAATGGCAGTGACAACTGTATGTGAAATTTTGAGCCAAGTGAATGTCAGTGACAAGCTTAACTTATTAATAAATGTCTCCTGTCAGAAAAAGCTTGGATATTGTGTTACAGGAAGAACGTAAATTGGTCCAGAGAGCAGCTAAAACAAGCGGAAAACCTCAAGATATGCCTTGTGTGTAAGAGCACACACGTTTGTTTGACTAACACAAAGGTTGTGCTGTCAGTTAGCAAAGAACACTATTGACCCTCTGTTTTTATCTTTAAGTTTATAATAAGAGGCTGCTTAGCATAACAAAGAAACAGACATGAATCAAAATCCTTTCTCCATTCACTCAAGCAGATTACTTTTCTGAGCTCAGGTTATGAATAAGAATGCCAGTCTTATGGTGCAGTTATGAGGCTTAAAGGTTCTAATCTATGTACAATGCTTGGCACATAATGGGCTCTAAACAAATATTAGTCCTTTTCCCTTTATAGGTCACATACAGCACAATGCTATGTGACCAAGAAATTTGTTGACTAAACAATGAAGTAACCTTTATTTTGGGTGCTCAGCAGTTGTCTTTGAACATGGTTTCTCCTAGTGCTCAGGGGTTTAAAGAAGGATCACAAATAGTTCAAGGGTCCACTAGAAACTTTGACCTCTATTATTCCTGAATGCCATGACTATGAAATGGTTGTGGTGACAGGAATCGTTCTTCAGAATCGTTCACAGAAACAGGCACAAGAGGGGAAATGCTGGACTAGGCGAGAAATTCTCAGGAAGCTAACGGGCTTAAGCCTTAGAGACCCTCACCTGTACAAGTCCCTTCTTAAGCCTCGCATCTAACTTGAGCAGTTGGCTCTTGAACAATATAGGTTTGAACTGTGCAGATTCACCATAAATATATTTTCTCTTCCTTATGATTTTCTTTTTTTTTTTATTTTTTAAAGATTTTATTTATTTATTTGAGAGAGAGAGACAGAGATAGTGACAGAGATAGCGAGAGAGTGCACAAGCGGGGAGGAGAGAGAGAAGCAGGCTCCCCGCTGAGCAGGGAGGCCAACCTGGGGCTCAATCCCAGGACCCTGGGATCATGACCTGAGCCGAAGGCAGATGCTTAACCGACTGAGCCACCCAGGTGCCCCCTTCCTTATGATTTTCTTAATAACATTTTCTTTTCACTAACTTACTATATTATAAGAATATAGCATATAATACATAAAATATACAAAATATGTGTTAATCGACTACTTATGTTATTGGTAAGGCTTTTGATCAACAGTAAGCTATTAGTAAATTTGGGGGGAGTCAGAAGTTATAGGCAGAGTTTTTACTGCAAGGGGGTCAGTGCCCTAACCCTCATGTTGTTCAAGGGTCAACTGTATTTGTAATTAACATTCTTCTCCTTTAGGAGGGTCCCTCAAATTAGATAATCTTCAGGTCCCACAAAATCTGGATTCACTCTTACTGGACTGTCAAGTAAAAGAAAAAAAATAATATAATTTAAAAAGATGAAGTGGCCAATAGCAGGAAAAGCAAGTTTTGCTTCTATTGACCAATAAGGATTTTTCAATAACCCTGGACCAGAGATGCTAATATGCACCTGACTACAAACTAGTCCTTGCCTATCTAGGAAGGTACTCTCCAGTTTAGCATCAACCTAAAATTACCCATATGAAAACATAAGAATGGGGACTACCCAGCAATCAGAGGGTGTGCAGTTACATTGATCAGGCATTTGATTTCTCACATTTTTAGGTGGGTAAAGGGGAAGGGATGGATGGAATCAATATTATAGTGATCTGACTCAGTATGTGCCAAACAATGGGTTAGATCACATTTTTATTCTCATGTAAGTAATATTATCTAAATTGAAGCAAGAAGTAACCTCTTTTTATACAGCTTGTGGAGCCAGAATTCAAACACAAGGATTCAGGAAGTCAAAGCCCAGATTTTTTCGACCTGCCTATGAGCTAAAGCTTACCTGCCAAGAATCAGCCACTGGGATGGAATGGACATTTAACCTATAATCAGCCTAATGATTTTCAATACCGAATGTCCTGCCAACCACTTAGTACACTTTGCTTTCTCAGTACATTCAGTTATCATTTAGTAAGTGCCTGTTATGTCCAGTCATTGTGCTGTCTGTAATGTGCTGCCCTTCATTTAATTATTACTTCTTCAAAATTGTTATCCTAGCCTAGAAGCTCTCCGATAGGTAGATAGGTAGGTAGGTGGATGGATAGATGGTAGGTAGGTAAGTAGGTGGATGGATGGATGGATGGATGGTAGGTAGACAGGTAGATGGATGGATGGTAGGTAATAGGTAGGTAGGCAGATGGGTGGATGGATGGTAGGTAGGTACATAGGTGGATAGATGGATGATAGGTAGGTAGGTAGGTAGATGGATGGATAGATGGGTAGAGGATGGATTCACAAATATGTGTATTATCAAATGAGATGTTCACCATTACTATGATTACTATGTATTGTTATTTTAAAAGCACCCTCAGAAGTCCTTCTAAAAATCCATGGTCTTTTAAATTGAAGTTCAAAATTTTGGTTATTGAATCACTAAGGCTGAAATACTGCATGTGATTTGAAGTCAGCAATTTCAAAATTTTTATTTTCAAAAACTATGAAATGAGGTTATATTTTGTAATGGATAACTTTATCTCCCAACTTTGAAATTTCTCTTTTCACATTAAATATCTTCTCTCTTTCCTGGATGATTTGATCTCATTTCCATAATCATTGAGAAGTTTTTGAAAAATATAAATCTATAACTGTACTTACTGCAGAAGTTCAGGGAACTACCTCGTGTATCAGGGGAAGGAGAGTAGGATTTCAAACGAAATGTGTAAAGTTGGGGCACCTGGCTGGCTCAGGCAGTAGAGCATGTAACTCTTGATCTCGGGGTCATGAGTTTAAGCTCCATGCTGGGTGTAGAATTTACTTTTTAAAAACTGTAAAGTTGTGGACTGCAGCCATGGCTTCACTGAAAAGAGGCAACCGGTGGTGGGTTTGACTCACATGTTAATTGTGAAGTTCCCAATTACATTAAAACACTTGCTGACATACTCATCCCAAAGCAAAGTCAGGGGTAGAAATTTATAATAGAATGGTATTAGGGATATTTTAAATAAATTTTCTAAGCAAAGAACTAATATATAAATAGATAAATAAACAAGAATGAGTGGGATGTGACTTGAATATAACAAATGCCTACTCTGTAGTGAAATGGGAAGACTATTTCTGGTGATCCTGTTTTAACCACATAAGGGTTAGACAGTGTAACCAAATCTTTTTCTTTTTTTATGAAGTAATGTTAAGTTCTCTTTCATGGTTATTCACCTAACAAAGGGTGCATGTACTTGAATGAAAGATGGCCCCAATTTATATACAGTGTCCATAGGATTCTGAGACAAGTATCCAATTATATCTCAAGGAATAATATCTTTATTGTAACATGGCCTCAGTGCTTGAGACAGTGACCCCTATGCTGGGTGCCTGGTAGACTATCAGAGTACAATCCTTGTTACATTCTGGGCAAAGCTGTATTTACATGTAACTTGACAGCAACAATAGAGAAAGACGCTGAGTTTAACAGAAGGCGTTATATAAACAGTCCTGGAAACATACTTGCAAATGACATTAGATTTGGAAACTGAAATGGTACTGTGAATACACTTAAGAGTTGCTATCATTTCCTTCCTCAAAGAAAGACTCCTACTCAGGGTGCCTGGTTGGTTCAGTCCATAGAGCATGTGACTCTTGATCTCAGGGTTGTGAGTTTGAGCCCCCATGTTTGGGTGTACAGATTACTTAAAAGTAAAATCTTTTTTTGTTTTTAAAGAAAGATTTCTGTGCCTTCCTATTTATGCACACAGAGCTTTGCCTAATCCTTTCCTTTAAGGAATATTCTTCATCTCTTCTCCTTCAGATCACCTCGTTCTTGCTGATCATGGCATAAACAAAATATACTTTCATAGCATTTTAAATTGCCTCCTAACCACTGAGTTAGGCGTATGTCTAGAGAGATAAGTGAGTTTTCTTCGGGATGTGTCTGTTTACATGTTGGTCAAAATAAGCCAACAGCTTGAGTACCTGAAATGTTATGGAGCATTACACATGTTAAAGTATTTGATACAAACACAATCTTGCACAGTGTGATTTTAAGTGAACTGGCAGCCTCAAGAATGCTATGTAAGACTTTTGTTTTGGTGAAACTTGTTTGTTCGATAACACTTGCTGGATTTCACTTTTTAAAAAATTATAATAACTTCCTTGTCTTTTCCTCTGTCACTGCTACAGATCCACATCCAGAGAACTGAAGGATGTGACCATATGACCTGCTCACAATGTAACACTAATTTTTGTTATCGATGTGGGGAAAGATACCGCCAACTCCGTTTCTTTGGAGACCACACATCAAACCTCAGTATATTTGGCTGCAAATATCGCTACCTCCCAGAGAGACCTCATCTAAGGAGATTAGTGCGAGGGTCGGTCTGTGGTGAGTATCCGACATGATTTATAGGGATGTTTTCTGGGAAGTAAGCGGTGATAAGAGAACTCAAATGTATTAGCCATGATAATTCGGAGCACCTGTCAGGTATTCCAGTGGGGACTTTACCCAAAAACAGGAGGAAGATATTTTCTTTACTTTTGAGTTTAGAATGGAAATTTAAATTTGTTAGCAGGACACAATTTATATGAGCAAGCAGATTTTAAAAAAAAAAAACAAGTTACTTATTATACTGCAGAAATGTAAATTCATCTTTTAAATTTCTGAAGCCTTATTGTAAGCCACTTGATGAGGGGGACATCACATTTATTTTTCTATTGACAGTGCCAGCAACAGGTCATACACACATACTCTATTCATTCATAGGGGACATGTAATACAGTTTTTGAAAATCCCTATGGAGCCCCCAGGTAGCTCAGTAGATTAAGCCTCAGACTCTTGATTTTGGCTCAGGGTGGTGAGATCGAGCCCTGCCTCAGGCTCTCACTGAGTGTTGAGCAGGCTTAGGACTCTCTCTCTCTCCCTTTCCCTCTCTTCCCCCCTCCCTGCTCTCCAGCACATGCGGTCTCTCTCTCTCCCCCACCACCAGAATAAATAAATAAATAAAATTTAAAAATAAAATAAGTAAAAATCCCTATGTTTCAGAGTTCTGTACTGGAGTCTTATTGTATCTGTAGAGTTGAGGCCATTGTATGTATTTTCTATTGTAATATTAATATTAATAACTAACAGTTAATGAAATGAGTATCAAATGCCGTCATTGCCTACAAACCCAAGTTTAAATATCCAAATGAAATGCCTTTTTGGATTGAGTTTTTACCCTCTTCTTTGTCCTCGACAACACACGGTCTCATACGCACATACACAAACATAAACCCAGACTCCTGCTCTGACCTGAGGCCACCACCTTTGTGTGATACAGTGTTCTTCTGACCTCATGCTGCTTCTTCCGATGGCTCCCTACTTCTCTGGAGTGTGTCCACTGTGAGGTTTCTTCCTCTCTTTTTCATTACACAAAACTCCAATATTTCCTCCTCTGAGAGTCTTTCTTATGGTTGTACAATACTTTTTAACATCTTCCACCTTTCCCCTTTTCTACCAACTTTTCCCTAGTTACCTCATGAAAATCTCTTTTTATCTCCCTTTAAGTCTCCATCACTTCATTACTATTGTAAACCCCTCACCTTACTAGAATCATACCATGGCTTAATCAGAACAAAGCTGGTGCTAATGGCACATTTCTATTAGGTAAAAATAGAACATATATTTTAAAATTCATTTTAACGTGGAAACCAGTGCCATCATTTTCTAAAATCTTGTATGATCTCTATGAAATATCCTTATTCGGCTTTAATTAAATGTAATTGTTCACAACCAATAGCATTCAATATAGTCAAGATTGGTTTTAATGATTTTCAGTGTTTTCTTCTTTACCTGCTCGTAATATATGTATTTGCTGTTTATTTGCTTGTATGTATTATAATTGTATACACAATATTTACCTATTAGTTAAATAGACTTTGGAGGGAGAGCTAGGGAATCCAACCCCTCTTTACAACATTACTACCATGAAGATACTAAATTGCAAATTAAGTTTTGAGCTGTAACCTATTTGTAAATCTGTATATACAGAGAGCCACCAAAAAACACAAAATTCTTATATTTTCTGTATTACTAGGTTTTTTTTCCTACTTCAATAACATTTTGTGGCAAGATGTTTCCTTCCATTTTTTATTTTAATAATCTTTTATTTTTGTTTTCTGTTATTTGCTTTAATCGTTCTTAAATAAAGGAAGTTATCTCTCACCCTATTTGCCCGGTAATATTTTAGATGCATTCTGTTTGGGTCCTCTCATTTGCCTAGAGGCCACTAGAATCCTCTTCTCAGGTCATAAAATAGAATTGAGTTATTTAACAGCCTGTAAAAGGCACAGCCAGTGAACATTGTCAGCAGAGAAATATCTTTTCTGCACAGTCTTTTCTGTTTTATTTAAAAATTTATTTTATGGTCAGTTTTCTGTAAATGGTTTTATTTGGGGCCTATTTTCTACTGTGTTTGTGCATGCCCATGTGTGTCAGGACAAACCTGACAAAGTAGGGGGCATCTGGCTTTCAGAGAAGCTCTCGCTGCCACACCTGCTTTCCTGCCTCCAGTGCACCTGCTTCCAACTTCTGTTGGACCCTAGCTCCAAATAGGGCGGCCCATACCTCTCCCAGCCACCCAGAAGCTTGGAAAAGGAATGATTCTGTAAGTCACAAACCTAGCTTCACCCTGCCATATAAGAGAGAAGGTGGATGATAGCAGAGCCCTCCTAGCCTTTGTCTTTGAGTGATGTAATCTAGTTTGCTCCCTCTGTTTGGGGTTGCAGCCTCCAGACGTCCTTGGAAGAGGCAGAGAAAGGGCCTGCTCTGCTCTCACAGCTGGAGGATGGGAAACATGGTGGCGTTCCATGTGTGACCATGTGCCCAGCTATGGATCAGAGGTTCTGCTCCTAAAGAATAAGGGAGAACACAGATTTGAGGATGAGTTTAGCAGCCTCTGACATGGAGGTGTCTCCCTGGTGGGAGTAGGCAGATTATTCAATGAATGGCGTTGGGAATAAAAGGGACTGAGAAAAAGTACTGAATTCTCATATCATTACATACAAATGCTCAAAGTATTAAGTTAAAGTGTATAAGAGTAAAGAAAATATAGGTCTTTAACTGATTTCTAGGTGGCAGATTTTTTGTATTATATATATATATGTGTGTGTGTGTATATATATATATATATATAATTTATATGAACAAAAGCAATAGAGCCTCCTCCAAAAATAAATACCCAATTTTTTTAAAAAGATGAAGTCTGGAACCAGAACTGAGGAAATACAAGTAGCCAATAAACATTTAAAAAAAAATATACAAGCTATTAGTAGGCAAAGAAATGTAAGTCAAAAAAAAAGATTTTTTAAATTACTGATTAGCAGTTTTTCTTGTTAATACTCAATGCTGGACTTTCATACACTACTGAACGAATTAGAAATTTTGTGCAATTCTTTTGCAAAGAAATTGGATAGTAAAGTGAAAGACATTTTAAAATATGACAAATCTAGGCTGACAGTGGTTTATTTGCAGGTATATTTTAAAATAGCAAAAAGGAAAAAGGAACAGAAAATTAAGCACATGAATATTTAAATATTTAAATTATTTAAATATTTAAATAAGATATATATGGGTATAATAGGATATTATTTCAGCTACTGAGAATAGTATTTTAAATGAATTGTTAATAATCTAGGATTAGATTATGTGAGGATGTGAGATTATGTGAGGGTGATTATGAGAGGAAGTGCTTAATTCCTCAAAACAGTTTCAAAAGTAAAATTAAACATGTATTAAACATTGATTACATGATTGAAATAAGTTTATTACTTCCCAAAGAAAGAGCACATTGGTTCTTTGAGTTCTGTGATATTTGGGGGAAAAAAATCAGTGCTATTACTTTGCAATCATGTTTCATTGTTATTATGAAAATATGTTAATTATTTTAAAAGAAAACATGAATGAATATACTGAACCATGGGTACAGGAAAAAAACAGATTCTTTTAAAATATGCTGGCCAGGAGCACCTGGGTGGCTCAGTCGGTTAAGTGTCCAACTCTTGGTTTTGGCTCAGGCCCTGATCTCAGGGTCCTGGGATGGAGCCCCAAGTTGCGCTCCCCACTCAGCAGGGAGTCTGCTTGTCTCCCTCTCTCTCTGCCCTCCCCCCTGCTCACTCTCTCTCTTTCTCTCTCCAAAATAAATAAATAACCGCCCTCCCCCCTGCTCACTCTATCTCTCTCCAAAATAAATAAATAAATATTTTTTTAAAAATAAAAATAAAATATGCAGGCCAATATATTCTAAACTATTAAGCATAGCTTTAAGAATGTAGAAAATGTCATTGTTCAGTAAGATTTCATATTGCTTAATTGGATTCTGTCATTGGCAAAAAATATAAATAAAACCCATGGATAGACATTAAATAGTCTTCTTTTTAAATTAGATATGAAAGGCTGTATTTTCTATCTGTCTGGTCATGGTTCCAAAAACCGTTCCTTAAACATAAAAAAAGTTAATATTTTTCTGACAAACTTCCAACAAATGGCAGCATTATATTTCCATTTTTTTAAAATATATAATTGCTTATTCCAAATTACTGCCCTTAATTTGTAAAGTAGTGTTGCTGGTTTATCCTTAAAAGGCAAAGCCCCTCCATTCATCCTCATCTCTTTTTGTGTTTGAATTGTGCAGCTGTGTCACATGCCTTAAGGTCAAGTTTACTGTATAACAACAAGGTATTAACTACTACCCTCATTCCCTGTGGGCTAGTGCCTTTCAAAGTGAGTGGAATTCTGACTGTGAACTCTGTGCCCTGATTACATGAAACTAGCACTTACTGTAATCGCTGCTCAGCTATTTATTTAGGAAAAAAGTGCTAGTTGATGCCATCCTTTGGCAACCTGACCAGCACTTAGCTTTCTTATAAGTGCTTCCTTTTATTTTTCTCACATTTTATTTTATTTTTTCCATGAGACCAATACAGACCTTCCAATTTGTGTTTTATTTTTTTTTTTAACTCTAGTTGACACACAATGTTACATTAGTTTTAGGTGTACGACACAGTGATTCAGTTTCTCTGGACCTTATGCTGCGCTCACCACAAGCGTAACTACCATCTGTCACCATACATTGCTATTGCAATATCACCAACTATATTCCCTATGCTGTGCCTTTTATCCCTGTGATTTAATTCATCCCATAACTGGAAACCTATATTGCCCTCTTCCCTTTGCCCATTTTGCCCTTCCCACCCCCCCTCCCCTCTGGCAACATCAGTTTTTTTCTCTGAATTTATTGAAGTGATTCATTCATTTGAATAACCTTAAATATACTGTATGTTTATTGGTAACTGGTAATTTTCTCTAACAATATTTATTAATTTATTTCTATTTTTAAAGATACTATTTATTTATTTGAGAGAGAGAGCATGAACGGGGAGGGGGAGGAGGAGAGAGAGAGAATCCTCAAGCAGATTCCCCACTGAGTGCAGAGCGGGATGCAGGGCTCGATCCCAGGACCCTGAGATCATGACCTGAGCTGAAACCGAGGGTCGGATACTTAACAGACTGAGCCACCCAGGCACCCTCTAACAATATTTAAGCATCCCAATTGTAGTTCAGTCTGCCAGGTGTTCATATTATTAATTTTCTTTGGACCCAGGAAGTAAGTAAATCACTTTTTCAGATGTGGGCTTGGATGTAATCCTCTGTAGCACTTACTAGCTTTCCATTTTGTGAGCTAATTAGATTTTCTCCTGCCAACTCAGAATGTGTCACTCCTTTGTTAATCTTTCAGGATCTTGAAAAATGAAAGAGATTTAAAGGAAAAGCACAAAGATGAATGGTCCTGATAGAATAAAGTGACCTGTAACTTTGGAATTTTTTTGGTTATAAAGTTTAAATGATTTATGAGATGTTTGACTAATGTGCCCAGGACTTCTGTGGAGTTACTGAATTTACATAAGTATATTTGTTCTACACCTGATCCATTTCCTAAGAGAAATATTGCCTTAATTATAATCAGACTTCTTAAAAAACAATATACACTGTGGTATTAAGAAGCATTGCTGAAATTGTTTGATAAATTAGTTTTAAGACTCTAAATGGTTTTGCCTTTTGTTTTCTAGCTGGAAAATTATTCGTTGCACCTCTAATCCTGGTCTTGGGATTAGCACTAGGGGCCATAGCAGTTGTAATCGGTAAGAAACACTTAACATATCTGAGATTAGAGTTTTCTGAGTGCCATAGAGAGAATATGAGTGTAAATGTAATAATATGAGTCAGTTACTAAGTGGACATATCAGTTCCATGCTTGCTTTAGGTAAGCAAACAGCATATGATTTATAGATTCAGAGGAGTGTGTTTCATATAGGATGTATTTGTGTGACACTTTTGCAGCCTATAAAGACTTTGATTCATATATCTTATAAAACATTATTAATTCCCTTTTAATACCAAAGTTAATACAACTAGTATTTTAATGAAAGAGTCCAAAGGACTAGAACCCAAATTTTCCAATTCTGAGTTTAGATTGAAGCATAAAGGAAAAAGGTCTGTTATACCCTTGCATAATTGGTTTGTTCTAATAAAAGTGTACCCTGAGTAAAAAAGATACCTTCAATGTGAACATATACCCAACATATACTTCAGCACTGACAAACAGAAAATGTATGAGTGATTTGTATAGTTTCATTCATACAAGTATACTGAAATATGTATTTTAAAGCAGTGGTTCTCATACTCTAGCATGCTGTAGGATAACCTTGAGGACTGGTTAAAACACAGGTCGCTGGTTTCTACCCTCAGTTTCTGATCCCATATAGGGGCAGGGCCCATGGATTTCTAGTTCTGAGAAGGTCCCAGGTGATGCTGATGCTGCCGGTCCAGGGACCACACATGGAGAACATTGCTTTAGAGAATTTTAAATTAAACACTATAGATAAAGATTGCTTTGATGACTATTCCCCATAGTAGATGGGATTTCTTTTTTCTTTTCTAAATAAAATAAATTTCCATACGTAAAGTTCTATTTACATGTATGGGACGGATAGAATTGTAAAGTAACTGACATTTAAGTTCTTACAAGTAGTTAGGAAGGACTTTAGGAAGTTGGTACTGTTATTATTTGCATTTTACTGTGGAGGAAATCAGGCTTACTAGGACCTCAGATGCGGTAGAACTGGGAATCGAACCTGGCATTTGGCTTGAAAGCCCGTGTTCCTTAGTAATGTGCTGTCCTGCCCGAGACCGAAGTGTCCTATCAGGGTGCAAATGATATGACTAGGGCTAATAAAGAAGACAAACCTAAGATTGGATATTTTAATAGAAAACATGGTTCCATATTCAAACTGGTGCCACAGAGGTTGTTCAAAAGGGCAGAGAATTGCAGAAACTAACACGGAATGAAATCTTACAGAAGTAAATACATTTCATAAGGTAGGTGTCTCCCCCCATCTTCATCCGCATGCAATGCCAAGTAGCAATCATTTGTAAATGAATGCAAAATGGAAAGTGGAAACTTTTCAAATATATAAACCTAAATGCCTCTCCTCCTAATTAGCTTTAATCTTTTTTTTATCCCCAGGTTTATTTGTATTTCCTATCTATTGCCTTTGTAAAAAACAGAGAAAGCGATCACGGACAGGAATGCACTGGTAAAATGCGGATGATTTCGTGGAACAAAGCCGGTTCGAGTAGGCACCACACAGAATGGCACGCTAAACGCTGCGTCCCGTCCCGTCCCCCTGTGGTTGTCTGCAGGCCGCAACGCGTCTGGCTCTGGTGCAGTCTCTACATGGTATCCTGATTCCTTTCCTTATACAGTTTGCTGCTTTTAAAAAAATGGTCACTTTCATAGACTATCAATGTCTGTATCATAACTCTGACCTTCTTACTGGTTCTTGGAAGAAAATATTTTCATTAAGAACCAGTTATCCTCAGAATTGTCTGAGCATGCCTCTCCTGAGCATTGTTTGGATGGTCTTTGTACCTAAACCTCCTTCCAGACCCTCTTCTGAGACTTGGGGTGAATAGCTGAAATCATGCCACCTGTACAAACAAGCAAGGCCACTTTCCAGAAGACAAAAGCTCACGATATGCACCTGTTTTTATCTGTGGCCTGTGCAGTATAATTCCTTCATCCTTCAGATGCTATAATTGTTAAAAATCTCAATGCCCAAAAGGGAACTAGTGAAACAAAATTAATGAGAAGAATCATGAGTTACTGAAGTGTTTCTGTGCAGGGGTGTGAGGGTGTGTGTATATAAGTATCTGTATTAAAAGTAGGTCCAATAACCTTGTACTTGTCAAGTTCTATGCCTCTACACTATTTTCCATATTTTCATAGACATATTTAAAGATGATCGTTCCTTTCTGGGCATATTTTGGTAATGGACTGAATTAAAGTCAATGTAGACAACAGGCTATTTTGATGTTGACCCTTTCTATTCCTTGCTCTCTCTCTCTGTCTCACACACATGCACTCACACAAGAAATTGGTGCAATGTCACGTTGAGGATCATCAAACTTTATTAACTGACGAAACTGATAGGCTGCTTTTAGGAAGTTCTCAAGACCAGAACGTTCAGTCTTTGAGGATTTTTTATATCTTGGCATACATGCTTTACTAAATGAACAAATCCTTCAGACAGGATTAGTTAATTTAAAAAACGAATTTGTTGTAGCAAGAACTGCTTAAGCCTCTAAACAAATCACTGTTCTGCTAATTTTTTAATCAACTTGTAATTACAGATAATTCCGCTTTAGGTCAAGTTGTGATAGTGTTGGAAACCCCACGCTCTTACCTCTCCTCTCTCTTTCTCTCTTTTTTATCTGTCCCCAAGATTTTCATTAAAAAAACCAGAGTTTTGAAGGGTTTTTCTTATGTTTACTGATCAAATATTCTCAAACATGTTGATATCTTCTTATGGATGGAGTAATTTGTAAACAGATTTTTGTGTTCATGGGTTTATCTAAAATAGAAACAACTTTTGGAAAAATGAAGGAAATATCTTCAGGAAGTCTTACCAAACCGAGACGTCTTTAAAAATAAGAAAAGGACAAGCAACTAAACTATGTTATTCCTTTGTTTTCATCATGGAAGTTCATCAGCAGATCGGAAGTAAAGACCGCTAAGAAGCCTGAAGTTTCCACCTGACTCCAAATCCTTAAAATCAGCTATCTGCATAGATGTAGCATTTATCTCTCAGCAGCCTTATCTGAATGGTAATAAATTCTGTGATAAAACATGCATTAACATGGATAGTTTGTCTTGTTGGGCTCCAAAATAGAAAAACATTTATGATTTTTATCAGACCTAAAAAGTCCATGATAGTGAAGGTTACTTGCATGGATAATGAGCTAGCACACTTCCATTCTTTCTGAATAATGCTCAGGCTTGCTATACTGCAGTTTCTGGGCTAGTCTACATTCAGTTAGAGGAGGGTGTGCCATTTATGATCCTACAATGGCCTGTTTCTAAACATGGCACGATGCAAGGAAAAGTGATGCTCTAATTTCATAAATTCATCTTACCATTCATCCATCCAGCCGACAAATATTTTTGAGTGCCTATTCTATGTGCTCTAGTATTAAAACAAGAGAATGAAAATTTCTATCCTAAATCCATGTAATTCTGTCATTAGAGTGCTTAATTTTTGTAAATTTGTTTTTTTCTGGACTTAGGTGTTAGTTTGACAATATGTGAATGCGATGAATTCTAAATCTAGTGGATATGCTTATGTATGATGTGTATGTATATGTATATGTAAATATACATGGACACATATCTAATATTTCCATAGCTGCATATAAATACAAATGCCACATGCATATATACCAACTGGCTAAGTAATATACTCTCTGGTCTTAGATAATCTATTTTCTTAGGTTATTGTATATCTTGTCTTTGATCTACTCAGGGATTTTTATTCCTTCCTTTGAATAACTTATCTTTTGGAGATACTTTTATATTATTTAGAAACGTTCCAATTTTCCAGTTACAACGTGATGTCTTTCATCAGTGAAGGCTCTTTCATCAATGCTTGAGATACTGTACACAGTGTTGCACAGGATTTTCATTGTTATATTGCATAGATTTCTTAAATTAACGTATGAATTTTTCTCTTTCAAAGTTGGTATATATTAGGCCTTTCCCTGATAGTGACTTAAAGTAATAATTTGTGAATGTTTTTACTAAGTGTCATCAAGATCTTAAAAAGAAAGAAGAAAATAAGAAGGATTATGTATATGTTAGTGCCAACAATGGAAGTTAAACAGTAGTAACTTTTGGGATAAATTCTAAAAGCTACATTAGAAAAAGAAGCATACACATAAAATAAGTATCGTTCTATCCAAAGCTTGTCATTTTTTTATTGTAAATGTAATATATACTCCTTTTAAAAAAAAAATCAAACCATATAGAATTATAAAATACAAATTCATCTGCTCCACCCCACCCCTTATAACCACTGTTAATGTTTTGATATATGTCCTTCCAGAAACTTTGTGCAAATATACAAGTGTGTTTGTATATGTTCGTGTGTATTAGTTTTATACAAATAGAATAGTAGTCTTAATGTCCTGTGACTATTTTTCATTTTATTATACATTAGTAGATGCCTTTCCATAAGTGTTTAAATAGATTTACCTCATTCTTTTGTAAATTACTACATATTCCATTGTGGGGCTATACTTTACTTAATGAGTCCCTATTGAATGGACATCGAGATTGTTTTTACTTCTCTATTACAAAGCATCAGTGAAGATCTTTTACATATATTTTTATCACTTTATGTACACATTTCCATAACTTGTAAAATTTGTTTTTTATAAGATATTTGTAATAAAATTTTAACGCTTTTTCAGTGAATGAGATCATAGAGATGCTATATTTGAGACCCTTTTCTTGGAGAAAAAGAAAGATTATGTAGGAGTTTTATGTAGGAGTTTTTAAAGAAAAGCATCTTTTGCAGGATAATTTCCCCCCCCCCTGCTTGATTAGCCAAATAAATATGTGGCCAAAACGTATAAAAGAAAGTCCATCTTATTCCAATAAAAAAAATGCAATGAGATATTTCTAAGATAATGTGAGATGTCTACAAGATGTCTGTAAGAGACACTGATATTTGGATTGCCTCATTTTAAAATTTGAGGGATTTAAAGCATATAGCTAAACTGATAATGTCTGTCACATTTTTTTAAACACTATCCATGTTCATGCATGTTGCACCACAAAGGAACTTAATTATGCCATTGTGAAAAATAGGAAGCATATGCTGGAAATCATGAATGACCACAATTATCTACAAAAAATAAATTTGACTATTTGTAAGGTTTGGTAGTTTGTTGGAATGCTCATAAATTTGGAATCACATGAAACATTCATTTTACAACAAATCCCAGAAGTTCCCTAAGACCTATATGTGGAGCTAAGAAGAGAGGGGTCAAACCTTTTGCTACAAGCAACAACCGGTTGCCACCACCTTGATTTTCTGCTAGGTGCTATTGATCCTAAAGGTAGAACAGACAGGAAAACAATCAAAGATTATTAAACACAATCTGATCACAACTTGTGCTTGCTTGGTTGTGCCTGTCTGGAAATTCCCTGTCCTGTGCCACCCATCATCTCTGGAGACCCAAGCCCCCAGCTGAGCCTTTAGCATTCAATCCTACCACCCAAATGACCCCTGGGTCCCCTAAAATACCATCAGACCCCTGTCATCTCGCCCAGTCCCTGGTGACTCTCCCCAACCTGGTTTTTCTCCACTCCTCTGATAACTCTAATTAGCTCCTCTTCACTGCAAAAGAGGAGCAGGTGTGGAACCGGTGAAAAGCTCACTCTGGCATGGGCAGAGCACCAGTATTCCTTCCTGAGCTTTGTCAAATTCAAGTACATCCGCCAAGACGTTGATCCAGCTTCTCCCTTGTTAAACGTTGCAGTTGTTTGTAACATTAGACTTTAGGCTGCCTGTTAAATTTACAATTATAGAAAGAGCTAGTGGCCTAAATGAGATTAATTGGTATGCTTCTTTTAGTATGAATTTTTTTTTTTAAATCATGCCAAAAGCCATTTTATTTTTCAATTTTAGGAGCAAACTGCACATTTGCCTTAATGTGAGTCTCCACATTGGATTACGTGCTTATCTTTTCATATCTATAGGTGAAATCTATCCCAGTTATTGAGAGTAATTTTTCTTGTGGTCAGCTTTATTTTGTGTTAGTGTGTATTATAAATAGAGCCTTAAAGTTAAATAATGCACTTTAAAATACTTGTGCCATTTAAGTAATTCAACAGAATTAAAGAAGAGGTTACATATATTTTGATGGAGACAATAGAATAACAGTATTAGTAAATATATGTCACCTCTAAATTTGGGGTGGGGGGAGGAGAGGGTAGAAATCAGAGCTGAAAATTTAAAGCAAGTAAAACATACCCGAAAAAAATGTTGCTGAGTTTCCGAAAATTATAGTAATTCTAAAAATTGATATCAGGAGCTCAAACGTAACAAGTAATTAATAAATGTTACCTTAATAACCTAGCTGGAATGTTTGTTTAAAATATTAAGTTAATTTCTACCGCATTTTAACTGCATTTTCATTTTTCATGAAAGGAATTCCACTGGCTAGAAACATAGTAAATCAAAACTATCACCAACAGCCAGTTTGAGCATGATTTTTTTAACATTTTTATAATTTAATTATGATCTTCTTCCTCTGGAAAATAAGTTGCAAAATCCCATTTTTAATATATACATCTACAATTATGTAAAAAAACTGAAATAACTTTAGAGAAGCATTAATACATGGTCTGAACAAAATCAGCGTTCCAAAAATTGGGGTGTCTTCAGGATTGTGAAATGTTACCTTTTAGTGCAAACCAATGATGCAAATCTTTAAAGGAGAAATGCGGTAGAACTCATTTATAACTCCGGTTTTGAGGATAGGGCTAATACTCGTTTCATAGCCAACTCTTATGTGGGACTGCTACTGTACATCCCTGTTCTGAGAGTAGTACTTTAGCTGACTTTATCCAAATCCAAGAAGCAGAGAGTCACGTAGTGTGAGACTTGTAATTAACTGTCTGTTTGGGGCATTAGCTGAAGCCATCATATATCACATACTTTAGATCCCCATATATAGTGCCAATTGTAGAAGCATGTAATTATCTGTATCATGAACTATATTCTTTTTTTAACTAAAAAAGTGACTGTTTTGAGAATAACAATATGACTTACAAGGTAAAAAATTATTTTTTTAAATACACAAAATATTGCCATTGCCTTTTTTTGGCCACTTTCTTTTGCCTTATAAAAGAAATCTCTTTAAGTATATTTAACTCCGCATCACTTAGATTATACAGACTCATTGGCATAGAAAATATTTTGTTTTTCAAGTTTATCCCACATTTTTATCACTTTTATCATCAATATTAAATGATTTTCTTCCCTGTTTTTGAAGTAATGCTAATGTACTTCAGCATCCCGTTCCTGTTTTCTTTAGATTTCCTAGTTATCTTGCTTTTTCCCTCTTCTGTCCCCTTCCCATCTTGGCCAGCTGTGGATTAAATTCCTTCTCA